GTCGATGCAGCAGCGCCCCTAGGCCCAGATGCGGGGCCTTTTAAATGTCCAGGGCCTCGCCCGCGTCGCCCGAGACTTCCCCGGGGACAAACCGCAAATGCTCTCAATCGCACAGCAGCGGGCGAGGTAATTCACAAAGATCGGGCCGCAAGGGCTCGAAGTGCAGCCTCGTGCTGAAGTTCCTCTGCGGGTCTAAAGGCGCGCGGGTCGTCATTCGTCGGCCCCATCGACCCAGCGCAACTCTTCGATGACGTCTCCCGTGTCGGCGCACAGAGTCTCGCGCGACCGCGCTGCGATTCGCGTTAGCCCATCGCGGTTCGAAGTCAGGGGCGCCCGGGCGCAGTCGCGCCGGCGCCTCAACTTCCAATCTAGACGCGTCGATATCTTAAGAGCCGCCATCATCTCGTTCGCCCGGCGCGCCCCAGACCCCGTCGTCGTCGTTGTCCGAAGCGGGGCGGCTTCCAGCGTCGCGACGAGCGCCCGATTCGCGTGGCCTGATCTTAGAAAGAACTCGGGATGCCACCTCGTTTATCATTGACGCGGCTCCCGCGGTTTGCTTCCAGCCTGCGCGCGGAAACGCGGCGCAATGGCCACCGTCGGTCTCGCCCGACGGAGACGTCGGGACGCCGAGCTTCAGAGACGCGATCGAGCCGGATCAGAAATCAATCGCCACGCCAATGGCTCTCAAAACCTCCTTGCCGACGATCAACTGCACAGCCGATCTCTTGATCACCGAGAACGCGAACAACGCCACAAACAATGACAAAGACCGCCACTTCACCGTCGACACTTGCTTCTCGCCGCTGCCAAACCGGCAAACCGCCCACTGCTCCTCAGCGATGTTCCGCTCGACCCCCAGCCCCCGACCATGCGGCCCGCCGTCCTCGGAGGTAGGGCCACGCCGTCTTCGTCGAGCTGGCTTCGCGCCTCTCCGCCTCGCTCTCATGTCCTCTCCTGCGCGACTGCGCGGGGTCTTGCAGAAATCCGTCATCACCTGGCCACGTCGAGTTGGTTGGTCTACCCCCACCGTCGGCAGCATCTCCATCGGACGACTGATGCCCGCCATGTGGTCGGGCGAATGCCAGTGGCCATGCTCCTCCTCCTCGTCGGCGCCATCCTCGCCGTCGCCGCGCTCTGCCCGAGCCGCGTCCTCCACCCGCGCCCAGAGCTTGGCGCGCAGCTCCTCCATCGGGAACGATTCACCTTAGAGTCTTCGCCGCTCCAGGCAAGTACCGCACCGTGCGCGCCACCCAGGACCAGCCCAAGTCCGAATTGATATCCTCGATCCACAGGGTGACGCCCTTACGATACCTTCCCCAGCGATCCGCGCTGCCATCCCACGAGAGGATGCCCTCGAGGGCTCGGCTCCACTTCGGCCTGGCCGCCGTATGCGTCGTCGACGAGCGACGTCACCCGCCGTGTACGTGGGGGCCGCCATAGTTTCTCGGAGGCAACGCATCTCGACTGAACCTAGGCTATTGGCGGGCCAATAACCTCCGTAGACGGCGTCGCTCCGCCAAGCACCATCGTCCAGATCGCGATCACGAAATCGTGGTAGAAAGCGTCGAGATTGCCAACTACTTCGCGAAATCGAAATCCCAGCCAGCAGCCTGCACACAATAGATCTGGGGCGCCTCAGCGTTGCAGTGATGGGTTCAGGCCCCCAGCTCCACAGCGGGATCTGGCGGCGAGCGCGGCAGCGAAGAGGGAGGAATTGCGCTCTTTTGTCGGCAGCCAGCAGCGCAGCACAACAAACCTCAAGCCAGCTCGCATCCGAAATGGCAGCGGGCGAGAACATTAAGATAACGCGCGTGTGGGGAGAGGGGATGAGCAGGGGCAAGCTTGGACAGGGGACGAATCTGACGCCACAAGCCAAATACACGAGCGAGAAACGCGTTTCTTTCAACATGGCCCTCATGGCGGCCTGCAGCACAGCCAACTCCGTCGCCCGTGGGCCCGCCGTGCCGGCGAGAGCGCGCAAGACATCGAGGAGGTCCGCTGTGGCGAAGTTCCGTTGCTGCGGTGCCTGCCCACTCGGGGGAGGCGCGCCCGCTCGCAGCTCGGATGGCTGCAGCTGCCGCCGCCACGTTTCCAGCAGGAGCGTCGGGGTAGCGCCCAGCACCAGGGCTCCCCGTCGGCACATACTCCCTGCGGTTGGTGGATTCGTCCACGATGGTAGCGGCCCGAGCGCCGCATTAGACTGAAAGCAAAACGACTTCGAGCGGAAACTCCACCTGTAGTTGCAGGCCGCGCGCGAGATGTAACCATTGGTCGCGCCCTTCACACGCTCCAACAAGAGCTCAAACATGAAGTTCCACCACCAGGTGCTCACAAAAGGGAAAGTTCGTCCGACCTGGCGGTCGAGGGTTGCTATCTGAGGCCGCTCATCCCCCGCGCCAGTCTGGTCAGGTCCTGGGCCGAAGCGATACGAACTTAACCCAAATGGCTACGGAGGAGGAGAGGAGGAGTAGGAGGAGGAGGTGGAGAATGAGTAGGAGGAGGAGGAGGAGGAGGAGGAAGAAGAAGGGAGTGAGAAGGATGGAACTCTCCCACGCCCGCTCTCCTGCACGTCTTCCGCGCTCCTCCCCGTCCACCACCCACTCCCCCTCCTCATCTCTACCTCTTGGGGGGGCTTTCGCGGAGGAGGAAGGAGAGCCCAGAATCGAACCGATAAGTCGAGCTGGCGACGGAAATGAATCGGATCCGCGGATATCGGCAGCCCAGTCGGAAGGAGTCGAATCGGCAGAACCCGACAGGATAATAGGCCCCCGTCGAGACATCGAAGCCCAGATCGGCATCCGAAGCCGAATCGAAGCAAACATCCAAATCGAAACCCATCGAAAACGAACTCGAATCAAATGAGAGGAACCGAAACCGTCTCCGAGGGGGATGCGCGCGTGGGGCACAACAACGCACGCGAGAGAGCCGCGCGCCCGGGCAGGAGCACATGCCCCGCGCCGCGGCCGAGGCGGCCACGGCGCAGCAAGGCAGAGGAGGAGGAGGAGAAGGAGGAGGAGGAGGAGGAGGAGGAGGAGGAGGAGAAGGAGGAGGGAGGAGGGAGGAGGTAGAGTAGAAGGAGGAGGAGGAGGGAGGAGGAGAGTAGGAGGAGGAGGAGGAGGAGGAGGAGGAGGAGGAGGAGGGAGGAGAGGAGGAGGAGGAGGAGGAGGAGGAGGAGGAGGAGAAGGGAGGAGGGGAGGAGGAGGAGGAGGAGGAGAGGAGGAGGAGGGAGGAGGGAGGAGGAGCAGGAGGAGGACGAGGAGGAGGGAGGAGGGAGGAGGTTAGAGTAGGAGGAGGAGGAGGAGGAGGAGGAGGAGGAGTAGGAGGAGGAGGGGAGGAGGAGAAGGAAGGAGGAGGAGGAGGAGGAGGAGGGAGAGGGAGGAGGAGGAGGAGGAGGAGGAGGAGGAGGAGGAGGGGAGGAGGATGAGGATAAGGAGGAGGAGGAGGAGATGGAGAAGGAGGAGGAGGAGAGAAGGAGCAGGATGAGGAGGAGGGGACGAGAGAGCGGGGGGCGGCCAAGGCGCAGCAATGAGGAGGAGAATGAGGAGAAGGAGGAGGAGGAGGAGGAGGAGAGAGGAGGAGGAGGAGGAGGAGGAGGAGGAGGAGGGGAGGAGGAGGAGGAGGAGGAGGAGGAGGAGGAGGAGGAGGGGAGGCGAGGGCGGGTGGCGGGAAGAGGAGGAGGAGGTGGAGAAGGAGCTGGAGGAGGAGGAGGAGGAAGAGGAGGAGGAGAGGAAGAGAGGGCGGGTGGCGTTTGACTTGTCAAGACAATCCCACCCACCATCTGGGCAGACGTGGTCTGGGAGTGACGAGGTCAGGTCTACTCCCCCTCATGCTCTCCCCAAGGGCATGGATCCCCTAGGTCGCGGTGTGTGGGAAACTCTGGTCTGACGCAGGATGGCACAAGGATGCCTCCAGAGATTTGACCGGGGAGAACCAGAAATGGCCTCCAGAATGGCGCAAGGTTGCCCGAGTTGGCCCATGTGGCCTCCAACGTGTCTCCAAGATGCCCCCCAAAACGCCTTAAGATGGCTACAGGACGGCCCCCGAGCCTACCAAGGATGCCCCCGAGAGGCTAGCATCGTTGGACAACGCTGTTTTCGCCCTCGCCGTGATGGCTTCCGGTGGGCCTCCGGATGACCCCGCAAGCGAAGGAGCTCAGAAAGGACCCGGCGGGTCCCCCATTCGGCTCCACAGAGCACACCAAGAGTCCCGAGAGGGCCCCTTCATAGCAACGATGTCTCGGCTTCCAAAGGGTCAACGGTAGTCGTTTCAGCCCTCTGGGCGTAGGTGGCTGGACGCGTCATCTCTGTCAGCCTCGTTCTTCCCCTTCGCGGAGGGGCGTACCCCTTCCCTCGCCCCAGCGCCGCAAGACTTCCCCCTTGGCCTACGTACGTGGCCAAGCGAAGAAGGTGGCTGCATGCCTTTCGGGATGGATCAGCTGTCGATCTCAGGCGTCGTTTTATGTTAGAGTAGCCTGCGCAGCCATGCGAAGAAGGTGGCTGCGTGCCTTTCGGGATGGGTTCGTTGTCGATCTGAGGCCCCGTTTTTCTGTTGTTCGAGGCCTCTTCTCAGGGGTGGCATAGCGGCCTGAATCTCTCTGACTTTATTATGCTGCGGGGCAGACCAGTCATTGCGGGCCAAACTCGGGGGGTGTACAACCCGTCCTCGACAAGGCTGCGTCCGAATAGCCCCCCCCGTGGGATGTATCCCCGACGTTGCCTTCTTTTTATTTGAGCGGTCTGAGTTGTCGGGGAGGACTCGGGGATTGTGCGATGTCATGGTCTCTTCGGGGCAGCAAAAAGCCCTCCCTCTTGTGCGTGTTGCTGGAGGCCTCTTTGCAGCGTCTTGGAGCATTGCCTTTCAACACAGGGTCTGCAGACCTCTCCGGGGATTTCTGTTTCATCCACAACAAAAAATGACAACGGTCAGGGGGCCCGAACGCGGAACGAACTCTTTCTTGATTCCAATACATGGCATGGGAGGCCCAAGTTCGATGGCGCCGCCTGCTCCATCCAGGACGAGATGGCCATGGCGTTCAACCGCCACGTCATCTCTGTGTAGGCCTGCGGCGCTCACCCCTGCGACTGCAACTCACGCATCCTTTCCGTGCATGCTCGGGCCTGCGGATGCGCGTGCCGCTGCAGTCCTCCCCACCCCCCTCAAGCTCTCCAAGGCTGCCAATCGTACTCCTCCGCCTTCTCCTCCCGCTCCCCAGCCTCCAGCCTCCTCCTCCTCCTTTCCCCTCATCTTCCTCAAGGTCATGCTTCTCAATCAGCTCCTCCTCCTCCCCTGGCGTTGCGTGCCATGCGCACGCAAGGCTGCGGCGCGCCCCCAACCCTTGCCCATCGGCGCCCCCTCGCCGCTCCCCAGCCTGGGCAACGGGCAGCAGGCGGATCTTGGCCATCATGCGGGCGTTCAATATCGACGAGAGCATCGCCACCAGCCTGCTGGCAGAGAGGCGAGGAGGGGAGAGGGCAGCGAGGGAGCCAGCGAGCGCGCGGAAGCCGAGGGGCAATTGGGTCGGAGCTGCCCCCGGGGGGGGCGGGAGAGTCCAGGATCGAATCGGCAAGTCTGGTCGGAAGTCGGCATGAATCGGATCGACGGAAATCAGCTGCCGAGTCGGGAAAAGTCGAACCGGCAGACATCCGCAGGCTAGTAGGCCTCCATTGCAAAGTCAGATCCCAGATTGGAATCCGAAGTCGAATTGAATCGGAAGCAATCAAAATCGAATCGAATCGGATCGGAGGAATCGAAAAGAGCCCTGGGGGGGGGCGAGTCGCAGGAACAACCGGAACCAAGGGCCAATCACCCGAACGGCGGGGCACGCGGGCAGGCTCCTGGACAGCAGGGGCACCTGCGGGCACCTGGCAGCCCGGGCGCCTCGGAGGGGAGGATCGGGAGAGCAGGAAAAGTTCGAGGACGAGGACACTCGGAGGATTGAGGAAAGGAGGAGGAAGAGGAGGAAACAGGAGGATGATGCAGAAGAGGGGGAGGGAAGTGGAGGAAGAGGAGGAGGAGGAGGAGGAGGAGGAGGAGGAGGAGGAGAAGGAGGACCACGCCGATGACCCGTCGTGCAGCTGAACCAGGAGCACAGGCAAACATATGGGCCCTGCTAGGGCACACAACATTATACGAGTTTCTTACCCGTCTTGGGGTGCTTGCCAGCCTTTACGGTATCGATCCTGGATCTTTGCCTGGCTCTGGCCTGCTTGTCCTCTGCGGGGCCTGAACAAGCCACATCAAGATTACATTTGGCAGCCTTGGCAGGCACCTGATAAGAACCGCACAATGTACAAACCATAGCCCCTTGGGTCACCCAGATGCGGTGCCCACGGAGCTCAACAATCTCGTCAGGCGGCGGAGCAGACAATTCACTGAGCACGGGTGCCGCCTCTTGGGAGCTGGCAGCACCCTCCTCTTGGGTAAACTGCAGGGCCACTCCTACAGCCTGACTACGCATACATGGAGCCTCCTGCAAGCCCTTGTCCTGAGACGCCATCAACCTCTGCTGAGGGGTTGGGTTGCACGGGGTCCCAAGGAGCTTGGCCAAGCTAGCAGGGGTCCTAACAACAGGCATACACATACGACACTGGAGCACCTTGGCCCCGTCCCGAGACATATGCACCATACAATGCTGAGTGAGGCCCAACTTCGGGGCCGCAGTTGATTGCCTAAAAGAACGTGCGGGGCGGTCACTCTCACAATCACGATAAGCAGTCTTCGCCGCGGCCGGCCCGAAAAACCTGGCCTTGAGCTTTGCCTCCGACAAGAGCCCCTCGTAGTACTTAATAATCGTTTCTGGATAGGCATGCTCCAGGGACCCACGCTTCGCGAACCAATCCGACCACGCACTGCCGAGGTAGAACTCAAACGGGTAACCTGAGAGCATCGCATTTTCCAGATTCTGGTGAGCTGGAATCCACTGAAAAGATGGCCGCTTCTTGAGGAGGAGGAGGAGGAGGAGGAGGAGGAGGAGGAGGGGGAGGAGAAGCAGGATGATAGGGGGGGCGCAGTAGACGCGGCGGGTCCGAGGCGGCGGGCTGATCTGGCAACCATGCGTGCGCACGCTCGGCGAACCTAGAAAAAGAAAAAGCTGCATAAATGTTAAGTCTGGGCGCTCCGCGCGGATTTCTTGGATCCGCGCTGGGGGCCCCCTCCCCCGGAGCACGCTGAGCGCGCTACGGGCTGCGCCGGAGGCGCCACCTGGGGGGGGGGCCAGCGCGGATCCAAGAAACCCGGTCGGAGCGCCACAAGTTTGTTTGTGCCGTTTGTCTCTCCTTCGATCGCCCGCACCCCAGGTCATCATGTCCGCGCGGATCCAAGAAAACCGCGCGGAGCGCTACAAATTTATGTTTGTGGTTTTGTCCCTTCTTCGGCGGTGGACAAACCTCCCTGTAGTAAACCATCCTTTAGCGAAATCGGCCTGGGACCAAAATCGACGGGCCTGGACCCGCAAAAATGACGGCCGCGACGCCCTCTCGCGAACCAAACACGGCCAATTCACTAATCGACGTGTCAGGGTAGGAGGTCTATCAATCTCCGACTTCTTCGAAGCCGTGCGAGCGCTCGGCGAACCGACGAAGCCTTCCGCCGCCAGCCCGCCGTGGGCGGTCCTGCCGGCGGAGCCCCCCCGCATCAGGCGCTTCGCCGCGCTTCGCCGCGCGCGCACTGCCCGTCGCTCCCCGCGGGCGGGCGCGCCGCGGGAGGTCTGCCGCGCCTCCGCGCGGCCGCCTCGGGTGGAGGAGGGGCTCGCCGCACCAGGGAGGCATCGCATAGCTCCACGTGCGCCCCGCTGCTGTGGACCTCCTCCTCCTCCTCCTCCTCCTCCACCTCCTCCTCCTCCTCCTCCTCTCCTCCTCCTCCTCCTCCTCCATTCCTTTTCCTTATAAACAACTTCTCCCTGTCGCACCCCGAGGCCAGTTTTTAGGGCGGGCCAAGCGTTTCGCCTGAGACTTCCTCTTCACTTGTTGCTCTGAAGCTTAAAAATAACAACAGCTTCACGTATTGCGAACGGGTCGTTTTCAAAATGTGACTCTCGCCTCGTCGCGCGCATTCCTTTTAAACATGTGCAAGAGTTTCACGTATTGAGAGCGGGTCGTTCTTTGAATGTGGCTCTCACCTTAGCGCCGCGCACATTCGTTTTAAACATTTGAAAGAGTTTCACGGATTGGGTGCGGGTGGTTTTCAAAATGTGGCTCTCGCATTAGCGCCGCGCACATTCGTTTTAAACATTTGCAAGAGCTTCACGGCTTGAGAGCGGGTGGTTTTCAATATGTGGCTCTCGCCGTAGCGACGCGCACATTCTTTTGAAACATCTGCAAGAGCTTCGCGGATTGAGGGCGGTTCCTTTTCAACATGTGGCTCTCGCCTTAGCACCGCGCACATTCGTTTTAAAAAGCTGCAATAGTTTCACGAATTCCCATGATCAACATAACATAACTGATTCCGGATTATGCGGGTGCAACGATTATGTTGATTCGCGGTGTTGAAGTCCCAAAATGGCGTTCTGGCACGATTCCAGATCTTAAAGACGCAGCATGCAGGTTGATCCGTGGTGTTGAAATCCCGAGAACAATGCCATTGGATGATTCAGGATCTTCAAACGGTTGTCTTCCAACGAGGCAAATGCCTCAATGGAAATGAACCGTTGCAGGAGCCTCTGAAGAGAGAGCTTGGAGGGAGGGTTTACTCCAGCATCGTTGGTGACGCCGCCCTCCTCCTCCTCTTCTCCTCCTTCCCCTCCCCCTCCTCCTCCTCCTCCTCCTCCTCCTCCTCCTCCTCCTCCTCCTCCTCCTCCTCCTCCCCTCCCCTTCTTCCTCCTCCTCCTCCTCCTCCTCCTCCTCCTCCTCCTCCTGACACGCGGCCGCCGGGACGAGCCTGGGAGACCGCTCCAAGGCGTGTTGTGGCTCGCCCCTAGACAGGTTGGGAGACATGGAAAGTGAGCGGGAAGGCCAGGTTGCGGACGAAGAGGAGGAGGAGGAGGAGGAGGAGGAGGAGGAGGAGGAGGAGGAGGAGGAAGAAGGGGAGGAGAAGGGGAGGGGGAGGGGAAGGAGGAGGAGGAGGAGGAGGAGGAGGAGGAGGAGGAGGAGGGGGAGGAGGGGGAGGAGGAGGAGGAGGAGGCATGAAGCAAACGAGTTCTGGGCCTGGTCCCCGAGTCAGTTCCCGGGGCACCCTGGAGGCGAGCAGGGTGCTTCGTGGCATGGGCCTCCAGTGTGCAGAGAGAGAGAGGGAGAGATGCCACAGACCACGACCAAAGACCGCACGGCCCGAGACCACGGGCCGCGACCGGAGACCGCGGGCCACGACCAGTTCGCCGGAGGCGCCGCCGGGGGGGGGGCCAACGCGGATCGAAGAAATCCGCGCGGAGCGCCCAAAAAATGCTCATGGCGTTCTCTCTTCTTCGACAAGGGGGACCCGCTTTTCACGAAAATCGGAATCGTCGTGACCGTTTCGAAACAGGAGCTGCAGAACTCTCTCAGGCCAGCTCGCCATCCTGACCTTTGTTTTATCACGGCCCCCATGGCCGCCAAAGAGGGCCCCCGCATGAGCCCGAAACACACCCCTCGGGACACCCGGTTGCTTCACGGCGCGGAGACGGAGGAGAGGCACGGGCAGCGCCGAGAAGCCCGTCTCGGGGCGGAGCTGCTCTGACACCATCATCGGCGGCGCGCACAAAAGGGGCAAGGGGGAGGGGGGAGCGGATCTCCACTGTTCCAATTCCCCCTTCCCCTTCCCACACCTCTCCCTTCTTCCTCCATCAGGGCACAGCGTCCGCGCTCATACCACCGTCCCACCACGCCCTCTTTCCTCATTCCTCACTACCCCACCCGACCCCTCCTCCACCCCTCCCCTCCCCTCATCCCCCACACTTGGAGGCGAGCAGAGGGGGTAATTAGGGAGGGTCTTAGAAGCCGCCGGCCTTCCGTCTGCAGAGAAGGCCCGCGCCGTCCAAGAAGCAGGGGGTGCTTCAAAGAAGCCTTCCCCCCTCGCCCTACCCCTGCGCGTGGCCGACATCATTCGGCACATGCTGCTACGGCGCAGATTCCTCGGGGGTCTCCGAGACCGGAGCACAACAAGCAGCACGTCCAGCTGCCGAGGATGCAGGAGAAGGGGGGGAGAAGGGGAGAGAGGAATGAGAAGGGGGAAGCGTTAGAAGCAGGGAGGGATGGAGAGAGGAAGACAGGGAGGAAAGAATCACGGGGAGGAATGGGAGAAGTGATGGGGAGGGGGGTGAATGGAACGTAAGCGCCCGCTGTCCCAAGACGTCGCTACTTCCTATGCTCCGTTGTACTTCGCACAGACCCAAACCATCGCGCTCTGTAAGTTTGAGCCTTGCGTTGAGCCCAATCCGCCGACCCCTTGGGGATCATCGGCGTGTGAGATGCTTCCCCCTCCCCAAACCCCTCCCCCGGGAGCCCGGTCAGGTCGATTTGGAGGGGGGGGGGGGTCCGGGACGAGCGCAGCACGGCCGGGACGAGCGCAGCACGGCCGGGACGAGCGGTTCACGGGGCTTTTCCGGGCCCAAGAGGGCCTCAAGACGGGCCAAGAAGCCCCCAAGAGGCCTCCAAGACGGCCCACGAAGGCCCCGAGACGCCAAACGACCGCTCCAAGACGCCCAAGATGGCCCCAAGACGGGCCAAGAGGTCTCCAAGACGGCCCCCGAGGTCCCAAACAAGCCTCCCAAGAGGGCCCCAAGAGTCTAAAATTGTTGATTTTCCATAGTGTTTTTCGATGTTTTTTGCTTTTCCGCCTTTTCGGCTTCCCGACGCTCCAAGACGGCCAAAGAGGCCCCCAAGAAAGCCCCAAGATGGCCCAAGAGGCCCCCAAGACGGCCTCCAGACGGCCCAAGACGGCCCCAACACGGCCCAAGAGGTCCCCAAGACGGCCCAAGAGGGCTCCAAGACGGCACCAAGAGGGGCCCAAGAGGGCGACCAAACATGTTGAAACTCTAGCTTTCTGCCCCCAGGAGCCCCAGGGGGCCCCAAGAGTGCCCCAAGAGGCCCCCAGAGGCCCTCACGAGGCCGCCCAGACGCCAAAAGGAACCCCCAAGAAGCACCCCAGAGGCTCCGAAACGGCCCCCAAGTGGCTCCAAAACTCGCTTTTCACCCCTTCGCGGCTTCTACTACCCCCAGATTGGCATAAACAAGGGGTCGGCGGTGTGGCGTAAGCCTAAGAATCATTTCGCATTCCCATCTGTACATTCACCGGACACTGTGCCAAGATTGCTCCGACATGGCCCCCATGCTTCACGATGACGATCCGACTACGTGTTTCAGCGATATTGGCCGTCCAATTGCCCCCACCTTGTCGAAGAGGGCTGTCACAGGGGGCCAGAAGGCCCAAGAGGGCCTGAAAAAACTCAAACAGCCCAGAAGAGGACCATAAGAAGCAACGCTTCGGGCCCCCAAAACCGGAGGGAGGCCTCTCGTAATCGCTGGCCTCCAACATGGCCCCAGAGCTCTGGCCTTCAGGGGGGGGGCCAGGAGAACCACAGGTGGCTTTCAGGGTGGGGGGAGGGGGTCTCCGAAGTCCCCAGGTCCTTGGAGGCCTCCCGATGCCCGAGATAGACGAGCAAAAAAAAACATAAACAGAAACCTTTGACGGTCCGCGGAGGCCTTGGGATGCCCGAGACAGGCCAAGCACGCCCAAGGCCCTGGCCATGGAACCTCGATAGTCGGCCTCTGCTCATCCGTCCACTGCCTTACCCTCACCACCTCCTGCGCCCCTACCAGGGTCCCTCTTGAGCCATTCCTCGTCCCCCTTGTCCTCTTCCTCCTCGACCCTCCCGTCTCCTCTAAAACGTCGGCCACCACGAAAGCCTCAATCCTCCCACCTCCCTCCCCCCGCCCCGCCTCCTCCTCCTCCTCCGTCCTATTCCCTTCCCCTCCCCCTTCCCATACCTCGTCTCCCCCTGGCTCTTCTCCCATATTCCCTTCCCCTTCCTCATTCCACACCTCTCCCTTCTTCCTCCGTCAGAGCACAGCGTCCGCGCTCATGCCACCGGCCCACCACCCTCTCTTCCCTCCCTCGTCCCTCATGATCCCTCATTACCCCCACCCCTCCCCTCCCCCACCCCTCCCCTCATCCCCCACACGTCCGGTTCCCCCCGCCCGCCCCCCCTCACTGCCCCCTCTTCTCCCCCCCCATCCTCGCCCTGCATGTGAGCTACGCCAGCGTCGGGCGGTAAGCCTGGCGGCGCCCGCCGGGGCGTTGAAGAAGAGCACCTGGTGCACGAGCTCGGGGTAGCAGTCCTCCCACTCCGTCTTCCCTCCTCCTCATCGGGCTCCTCTCTCCCCCTCCTCCCTCCTCCCCCCCTCCTCTCTCCACTCCCTCCTCCCCCCTCCCTCCCTCCCTCCCTCCGCCCTCCCTCCCTCCCTCCCTCCTACTCCTCCTGCTCCTCCTCCAGGCTCATCACATGTCGATCCCCACGCACACCCGATTCGTGGGCTCGTGTGAGCAGAGGCCTTCGCCCGAAAGTGCCTCGGGAGCTGCGCCTCGCTGGCTCTGGAGGGCCGGCCGAGCGCGTGCGCTTTTGGCTCCCCTCTGGAGGGCGTGAGTCCCTGGGATCACCACTCGCACACAGCGTCGCCCGCGGCCAGCCCTCGGCGGTGCGAGTGCATCAATTAGAGCCCTCCTAGGTGGGGTCCGAGTAGATGGGGTCGGAAGATCGCGCCGCATCGCCGATGTAAAGAGGCCTGGATCAATACATTTCGATCCTGGCTGGCTTGGCGTTGCTGCAGCGATCCGTGCCAAAAGAAAATCGTTGCCTCATCCCTCCTGACTCTTCCTCTCCCTCCTCCGACGCCCTCATCGTAACCCCCCTATCTTCTAGAACCATCTGGAGCCTAGAGACCAAGATAATATTCTCCATCTGCCCTCCTCCCCCTCCCCTCCCCTCCCTCCTGCAGGATCGAGAAGAAGGTCTTGAGCCTCTTGAAAACCGGGCGCCCGCTTCTGAGCAGCAGCGCAGGAGACGTCTGGCTCAGGTCGCGCAGCTCCACGAACTTGACCATCCGGCGCTGCACAGGGAAATTAGGCACGGGCTCGTCAGCAACGGCCGACGGGGCGACGACGACGACGACGACCACGCCCAACGACGGAGTTCGAAGACGTCCGTGACTACCCTAAGCTTTTAAAGTTGTGTTGATGTGTCCATGAGGGTTTGGAACTATCTCTGAGGGGGCAGATGACCTTGGAAGATGGAGGGCCAGCAGCAGGGGGAGGAAAAGGAAGAAAGGAGGGAGTGGAGGGGAGGAAGAACATGGGTGAAGCATGCACACGGTGTAACCATGTGTATGTATACGAGCATGTATATTGTGTTCATACGTGCACACACATATAAAAATATATACACATACATATATACACATATATATATATATGTCTATACAGATATTAGCATGCGCACCTCTCCGAGGAAGCGGAGCTCAGAGGCGATTCATTCCCGACAAGTTCGAGATTGTTCTGGCCGTTTCGATTGGGACATCCTCAAACATCTGAACATCGGTGGCACCCTTCACGCAGATCGCGACGTCAACGTAAACATAGGGTGTTCAACATGTTAACAGACAAAGTTCAAATCACCATGTGAATTCAAGGATTGCGCACCGGATGCTTAGATCAATGCAATTTCGCCTGAGACATCCTGCAACAACCGAACCTGTATTCTATGCAACATTCTTAGACCAGGCAGTTCCGCCTGAGACATCCTCCCTAAATCGCCCCCATCAAAGAAAACACGCCGCACACAACACACACACAGAACACACAGACAGCGCCTACAACACACACAAACACAAAGAACACACACAGACAACACACACACACATACACGGACACACATGGCGCACACAACAACCGACACAAGCAACACACACACAACGAACGCACACACACACAACGCACACACACACACGCGTACAAACACACACACACAACACAACCAACACATATAACGCGCACCACTCGCACATAACACACACGCAACGCACAACACACGCACACACCACACAACTAACACACACACACACACACACCTTATACACAACACAAACACATGCTGCACATGTGTTGCATGCACATGGGCACTGGCAGTTCTGCGAAGGAAGGGGGCGCCAAGCCCTGTGGTGTCACTGGGATGCGTGGGATTTCTGGAATGCGAACCCAGGCACCCTGTGATGCCAGTGGAGAAAGAGGAGGAGGAGGAGGAGGAGGAAGAGGAGGAGGAGGAGGAGGAGGAGGAGGAGGAGGAAGAGGAAAAGGCGGAGAAGGCGGAGGAGGAGGAGGAAGAGGACGAAGGGAGAGGATGAGGAGGAAGAGGAGGAGGAGGAGGAGAGAGGAGGTTGAGGAGGAGGAGCTAAATTTATCTGGTTTGTGTGACTTCACATCCTGCGACGAAGCGCCACGCTGCAGCCCTCCAGAACTCTGTACCCTGGCACCCCCCAAGCACCCGAACAAGTCCAAAGGACATCCCATGGTCTCTGGGATTCTCAGCCGAGAGGCCACCAAGATGCTCCCAAGAGGCCCAAAAACTGCCCCCCCAGAGGCCTCCGAGAGCGCTCCGAAGAGACCCCAAACAGCATCCCTGAGGACTCTGACTCATGTCAGCGTCGTCGTCGCCGCCGCCGCCGTCGTCGTCGACGTCGCCGTTGTCGTCGTTGCGCCCCTTTAGGGTCGGCGGCACCGGCCGCAAGACCTTCGCAATCCAAATGGCATCCCATGGTTTCTGGAATTCTCAAACCAGAAATCAGAAACATCCGAGTGACATCTCAGTCCCTGGTGCCACCTCACTTCGCAAAACCATGCGACTTCACAGGGGTCGCAACTCCCTCGAGCCTCTCTCAGACTCTTTGATTGTCTGACTCATCAGAGGAGGAAGAGGAGGATGAGGTGGAGGAGGAAATGAGGGAACGAACGGCGATGAAGAGGAGAAAAGAGAACCATCAAAAGAAGCGAAGACGATCACTGGGTGTTCGGGGAGGGAGGGGTTGTTCATCTATCCGTATCACTAATGGGCGGGAGAAAGAGCGAAATGAAAAAAGACACAAACGAGCAGGAGAGAGGGAGAAGGAGAGAGAAAGAGACATAAGCAACATTTCATAAATGTACATGTGAGCATCTGACTATAAATATATATGTATACCTACGTTTACCTCTATATATATATATTACAGGTGTGCGTGTACTGATACAAGGTGTACGTGAACATAAACATATATATATATATATATATATTAATATAAATATACATACACACACGCGTAGCACCCCGCGGATGCGGATAAGAGTGAGGGGGCGGTGGGGACGTCGGCAGTTTGTGAGACTCTGGAGAAACCCGCCGCAGGCGCCAAAGTTTCACAAATTACGCAACGAGCCCGCCGCAGGCGCCGATTTTTTCGTTAAACCAATGTGGGGAGGTCGCGGGTGGTTCGCTGTTGGGTCGCGGTTGGGTCGCGGGTGGGTCACGGGTGTAGAAAGCGATCCACCCCATGACAATCACCCTGGCAAGCGAAACCGTGTAGTAAATGCACACAAAGAATGACTCGAACAGGGCAGGGCTGTTTAGTAAACGCCCAGGGCCGTTTAGTAAACGTCAATTGTCGGGTCCAGGTGGCTTTCCTCCCTTGAGGGTGGATCGCGGGGTGGGCCGCGGGTGGGTCGCGGGGTGGGTCGCGGGTGGGTCACGGATGGGTCGCGGATGGGTCGCGGGGTGGGTCGCTGTTTTATCCAAAAATGCTATGGAGCTCTCTTTTGCTACCTGAGGCACACAGCCATTCATGGTGTCGTCGGTCATTCTACCACCTGCCACTGCGACGCAGCTGCCTCGCCGCTCGAGATCCTCCGCCCCGTCGTTGGACGTGCACGGCACTCACGCACTGCTGCGCAAGCCCACCGGGGGAGCATGGACCTCTCGCGATCGGCGCGGCCGACCCCTCGGCAGCGCCGACGAACGCGCAGCCCCAAACGCCGACGAAGCTGACGAAGACGCCTTGGGCTTCCACGTCAGCACCCGCGACGTCGGGCACGACCGCGGGGGCAGCCGGCGGAGGGCGGCCCTCAGAAGGGATCGATGCGAGCAGCGCCCGGGCACCGCCCGACGGCATGTGCACAACGACCGTGCGAGCAACGCGCAACGCGCACGCGCAACGACAGAGCGACACACGCCCAGCGGCATGTGCCGCTGGACCGCCTGCCGCCCCACCGTTGGCACCGCGCCCCTGAAGCCCCCGCCCGCGTCGTGAGGGGTAGGAAGGGGAAGCGGGCGGGAAGGGGGGCCGCCGAAGGGGAAGGGGTATATCATGGCATGGCAGGAACTGAGCGAGACGAACGCGCGCGGGGATGCATGAGAAGGTGAGGAGGAGGAGGGGTCACTGGATGATTGAGGGCGGGGAGGAGGAGGAGGAGGAGGAGGAAGAGGAGGAGGACGACGAGGTCCCACGGTGTTCCGCGATCACAAGATCGATTACAACACACGCCCACAGAAAGGGCAGAGAAGTGGCCGAACGGGCAGCGTTCGCCCACGGCGGCTGAGCCCGTGCGCGCGCTCCTTTCGCACGCCAGCCTAGCGTTCGCTCGGCTCGGGCTTTACAGCGGCGAGCCCACCCCAAGGCACAGCGCCAAACCATTGTTCGAACCGCGCCCGCCCTGTAGGGCTCAGATAACGACACACCCAACGCCGCCCCAAGCCAGCCGAGGGGCGCCAGTCCCCCACTCTCCCGGCCGACTCCCGCCCCCACGTACGCACCAGGCGGGGCACCCAGGCCGTGAGAAGAACGAGTGGGGATCCCCCGGTGAAGCGCCCGCAGGCGACCCGCGTCCCCGCACGAGCTCTGGCGGGGCACCAGGTGGGCCACCGAAAAAGGGACGCAACGTGGCAACGAGAAGATATGTTGTTTCCCCCCCTCGCCCGCTACGGGCAAGCAGGAGTGACGAACGGGCTGCTACCCGCTTGTTTTTGTTGTTTTGTTTTCCGAGGCGCACGATTGCACTCAGTGGCACGGGTGCCAGGAGGAGGAGGAGGAGGAGGATGAGGAGGATGAGGAGGAGGAGGAGGAGGAGGAGGAGGAGGAGGAGGAGCAGGAGGAGGGGAGGATGGATGGATGGATGGATGG